GATTAGCCCTACGTGTGTAACATATATGAATTTGGTTGTTCAGGATTACTTCAAAGTTGTGTTTGTGTTGTTTTCTCGAGTTTTCACCGGTTCCACCAGCGTTCCACAGCAGCGCGCGTAAAGCCCATAGAAATACGTGATACAGTGGTGCGCGTCTTAGCAACGTAGAACGTCCGTGACGTAGCTCCGGGCGGACATCCGGGCATTTTCTACCGCCTGGCAACCCTCGCGGTGAAAACAAAGACCAAAAACTCGCAGAAAACGGTACTTTGCGATGGTTGTTGAGAGTCCCCTGAACAGTGTAACAAGATTAGCCCTACGTGTGTAACATATATGAATGTGGTTGTTCAGGATTACTTCAAAGTTGAGTTTGTGTTGTTTTCTCGGAAAATCAAGGAAATACTCGCTGTTACGGCACGCCTGATTGGCTGAAAATGAGCGCGCTTGAAACAAAACAAAAACGTTTTAATTTAAAATCCGTCATAATGAAATCAACACACAATATTACACAATAATACAAATGTCACGTTTTCATCTCTATTGCATATTTGAAAAAAAATACGTTTCTCACACTAAAACTTCACACAAGGTCTTCACACAGAAGACCATTCTCCTTCCCAGAGTTCCTTGCGGTTAGATCACCGAAAGTATCTCTGCCACCACACACCGCCATTTTGTGGTGAAACACCACAAGACTTTTACTACGCGTATCATTTGCGTATTTTTGTTATTAGATGGCTTTCGTGTTGATTTATTCCTACTTGAAAACAAGTTTTAAATTATTTCGTCGATAGCTAATAATGATTTTTTCGTAAACACACTGAAAACGGTGAAATAGTTATAATTTACAAAACGAAATAATTCCATTGCGTAATAACGGTTACCAAGGTGTTACTCGGTTCATCAAGCCGACGGCCCTGTCGATCGCTAGTCGAAGAATTACAAACTAACTAGTATTGACGACTAAATCGTCCTACTGCAACACCGTTTGTGTTACAGAAAGAAAAAAAAGCTTCTAACTTTGAAAACAGCCAAAATCTGCAAACAACGCGTACACATTCGTCGGGTTCGAAAATCGAACACTTGCATGGCAATGTTTTGGTGCGTGTCTTTGAAAGTAGTACCACTGTGACGCATCGACCAACCAACGACAAGCATAAGATCGCGTGGTGCAGGGGGGGCGTTGACGCTGCAGTTCGGCGTCTTCTGTTTGTGCTGGGACAGCGCTTCCGGTGACGACACAACGGGGGGGGGGGGGGGGGGGGATAAGACCCATTCTCCTTCCCAGAGTTCCTTGCCT